AAACTTGCTACAAACGTGGGATCTCCGAGATTTGCACAAAGATCATGGCTGTTGGTGAGGCAGGAGCTGCCATTGGCTTGAGCAAATGGTCTTCCGGTTGGCTTTTCCTTCAGGCATCCATGTTTGGCAACTTCATGCTGCTGTTCTTCTACGCTCTTTACGTGTCGGAGCCTCATTCCAATGCCTGTACAATTGGGAGGTGATTGATGGACATGTGCTTTGCTTTGTTGGGGGGCATCTCAAAATGACCACCACCCACTCCCCAACATCCCAGAACTCGGCTACTATTTATTGGTTTTCCCCGCGGTCTTTTAGTGGAAGCCGCGCTTTAGTTTGCTCACAGACTGCCTCAAGCGGAAAGCAGAGAGCCTTGTCTCGCCTCAAACGGCAGCGCCTTTCGAGGTCCTACTTGGTCCTTAGTGCCTTGCAGTTGAGATACGATGCCTAGAACCCAGAGACAGGTGGCAACACATGGGCCATGGATGGCCATGGAATGCTACTGGACACAGGGTGGAGAGCCAATGCAACGTGTGCAAAAGGGCTTGTTCAAAGCAGGTTGTAGTATTGTCCTTCATCCATGCAAGAGCAGCCATGTGTGAATGATCATTAAGAACCTGGTTTCGAGTTCAACGTTTGACTCTTGTGATGTTTTTGTAAGCGGAGCTGCTGGAGTTTTTGAGCGGCCACGGGATCCACGGAAAGTTGTGCACATACGCTCCCCTCAGATCCACTTAGAGCTGCTCAAACTTGAAGAGGCTGGACATTTGTTTCAACGGACTGCAGGAGACGTGACGTGCGCGTCAACCGCGGTTCTAGAAGTCAATCCGCAGATTGAGTTTCCGGTAGCCTTGTAACCTTGTGATCCACTTCTGATGCTACAATGAACCCGCGGCCAAGTCCATGCGCAGTCGGGTTTCTTACTTGCCGTAAACATCATTGTACGTTGTAGTTGCATGCTTGCGAACACAGGGTCCATGAAATGGATCTGGTCAATGTGCCATACACCCAGACCATCAACGGATCAATCCACACCTTGATTTGGCATCTTGGCGGCTTGAGACACTCACAGCAAGATGTCTGAAGTTCTGGCAAGCTGCGTGTAACGAACTCTGACTGGACCCCGTGCCGGCAGTGCATTGTTCGGCGGTGTGCGCGGTCGGGCAATCCCAGGTCCACATGGTGCAAGGAGGGCTCGGCCTCACTCACAGCGCGAGCGCCTCAGCCTGCGGGCGATCAGGTCATTTGGGTGACATAAGATGGGTTCTAACAAATGGGTTCTTGGTTGCAACATACAGAATTACTTTGCAATGCAAACTGGAACCCGCCTGTTGAAATCTGTTTGGATGGCATTTCTTGGGATTCCCGAATTAGGTTGTTTGAGCAACAATGGGTGAAGTGGTTTTGCCAATGCGACGGCCAAAGACGAGCAAGTCAGCCATAGCCTTATTGGTGGAAGCACCAGCTAGGTGTCCATCAAAAACCAGTTCCTTTGCACTTGAACATGCAGGCATATCAGAACTGAGCATGCATTCATCGCATGCACTGCACTTCTTTCATTCCAGGGCTGGCCTAAGCAAGATGATCCTTACTCTCTTTCAACAGCTGCCTTTAGCTGACAGGGAACCGCATGGGCAGCCCCTTATAGATGCAAAGGACTCCAGGACAGGGCTCCTTAAAAGATACAGTTTGCCCATTTGAAACATGGCATTTTCCACCAAAATACAGGGAAACCACCATTTACAAGGCAATGTTCAGGTGTATAATGTAAGGATCCCTGCTCCGTTTCCGGCGGTTTCTTCAGGTGCAATTCGGCCCCTGGCTGCTCTTCAAGGCCGTGCGCGTGGTGCTGATATCGTTCAGGTCTACCCCATGATGACAAAGTTGAGAACTGGTCCTGTGATCCCTAGCTGTACTGCTATTGGGTTGGATCTTTAGACTTTAACTTTTTGGATTCTCCTCACATGTTCTTTTAATTAGTAGAAAGTTAAACTTTTTGCTGGGGGATCTACAGCACCCAAGCTAGGAGCACACGGATTCTACATGTTGCACATAACTCAAAGCATGCTGAACTGGTCCACGTTGCTTTCTTCCACTTGTTTTGCCAACTGCCTGCAAGCCTTTGGCTGAAAATCCGTTGCTGGTTTCATGGGCCTACGGGCCTATGAGCCATGGCCAAAACCTTGGGTCTTTGACCCGGGGCCACCTTAGGGAAAGCAAAACACACACAGACGCACAGGCACATCACACGCACACACGCGCACGTGTGTATGTGTGTGTATGTGGCTGTTGCAATTGCAGCCACTGAAATGCAATGTTGGGATGAGGCGCCCTGGCCGTCAAAGAAAGATGTGGAGCTTGTTGTGCGTGAGAAACGCAAGACAAGCGTGCGCAATGCGGTGTTGCATCCTTGACACATGATACCCAACACCGCCATCATAGACAGGATTAATATTGGTAGGTATTCTAGCAATCCTGAAACAAATGGACGATGCAGTGCAGAAGGAAAGCATGGCCAGCTGAGCAAAGAGCCTTGGGCTGGTAGGTGCTACAGTAAGCTGGCTTGCTTTGTGTAGTTGTTGCTTGCCATCGCTCTACTACGCATGGACACCAGGCAATTAAGACTGACTTCTGCCCCACTTGCTCCCTTGCTTGCATAATCCTCACGTCTGTGTGCCGTGACGACTCGCGTTCTCAATATGGCTAGAGATGGTGATGGATCCAGTAATTGGCGTGAGGAGCCATGTGAAAGGCCCGCATGGAGTTTTGAGGATGGCAGGTATGATGCGCGCTATTTGAAATTTCTTTGAGAGGCCAGGGCCTCCAGCTGTGAAAGTTTACGGATAAGACATTGCAAATCATGTCCTGTCGCTTGGCCAGGATATTTTCAGGGATTCTGTCTAGGGTTTCCTCCGCATTCATCACATGCCCACAGAGCCATGCTCACAATGTTGCGCATGGGAAGTCTCCAACCTGCTGCCAAAAGGAGCACAGATGAAATTAGGGGAGCGTCAATACATTTGGGTGAGAGATCAGAGCCATGTGCACTGCCAATGCATGATACAATTCCAGGCACAGAAGTATATCAACCAGATCATTGCAGATGATATTAGCGTGTGTTTGCGTGAACGCGTGGCCTAAAGACTGCTGACAGCTTGCGGGCTTGAACGCATTTTGATTTGCTCCGGCTCCGTTTCAGGCAGTTTTGGGGCTATGTCGTCCCTCTCTAAGGCTTTGCCTTACAATTCAGGAACAATCTGGGAACAGTCAAGATGTTTGACGGGCTAGCCCGACATCTTGTCAACTCTACAGTTTTAAAGTTATCGGAACTATGCAAAGACATCCCCACAGAGCAGACGTCATCATGAGGTGGCCTGTCTACTTTCTCAAATTGGTCTCTTTGAGTCTGAGAGCATGCGCAGGTATACAGACCATTCTACAACTGAGCAGATGTTTGTCGCTACGTATTCGCTTAGATTCAGGGGGAACTACTTTTTACGCCGCGGAGGCACGGAGGCAATTCTGGAGGTAAAAGGATCACGTAGTAGACTGTTCAAGAAAATCCAGCGGAGGCAGCCTTGGCGCCCTTTCAGGTTTCTTTGTTTACACACCCACGGAGGCTCCGCATAGGCGTGGCTGCCAGTGTATAGGACCGGCACACCCAAAACAAACTCTTCTGAATTGTGTTTCTCATAACCCCCCCCCCCGACAGGCAACTCTCACACATTGCGGACATCCTACACACAAATGATACCTTGAATAGTACCCTCCAGTTATACTCCGCGTAAAAGAACAGACTGCTGCAAAAAAGCAGCTTAGAATCTGTCGTTCACTCTCCGGCGATGATTCGTCCTCAATCGGCAGGGAATTCGGAATAGCAATATCTATATCATGTACAAACATACAAATCCATTAATTCTTCACAATCACCTGGCATTGCACATCACAACACCTGAAGCTTCAAGCGCCGGATTTTTTGATGCAATGTGGAGGTACTCCAAGGGGACTTCAAAATGCTTCTATCCATTCCTTTCAGGTCTACACCACGGTGCCCTTCATCGAGGAGCTGCGGGTGCGCCCTGTATGGTTTTCCCGGTTTCCGTTTAAAGCCAAAAGGCCGGGGTCTTCATTTTGGGACAAGCTCAGGACCCGCGCAAACGGTTTGTGTCCGTTTGGTTTCCTTTGCCTTTGGAAAGCATGTCCAACAGAGACGCCTTGTTGTGACTCGTGACACGAACATATCCTGCGAGATATGATTAAAGAAAAGTGGGGAAACGCCAAACTGGGTCAGTCTCTCTCTCTCTCTCTATATATATATATATCCTTCAGCAAGGAAATTATAGCGCGTGTGTGCGTGCTTGCGCAGAATATAGGTATATGTTCTATACCATGTACATATATATTATACTCATATATATATATATATACATATACATATGTATATATATATATATATAAACATATACCATCGGGCTCCTTGTAGGGAACAGTTTTCCTGAATGCCCCATGCGGGCTCTGGGCTCACTATCGCAAATGTCAGTTTATTGGGCGATCAGGGCCTATTTTGGCTCATCACGCGCCAACGGTTTTGGCAACGTGCCAGGGCAGCCAATAGGTGCTGAGGGATTCGTTAGCTCGAGTCTCAGGCCAATGGTTAAGACAGTAAGCGTCGCTCGCGAGGACACACTAGGCGCGTTTTTCTGCTTTAGTTTCCTGGCGTGTGTGTTTGGCGATATCGACATTGTGATTTTACATTCCCGCCGAATATGCAGTCAAAGTGGCCGGAAGCTGAAAACCCCTGGCCCTGCATCTCTGCACGCCCGTACGCAGAGCTAGCGCTGCTCCACAGGGCTGCTTTTCACTGAGCTTGCGTGGGGAAGTCAGATGCTTGCAGCAAGCTGCCTGCAATCCAAACCCCCGCCTACCAGGCTGCGGCCCTTGGCCCGTCATCCACCCTGTGACACTTGTGTGATTTTTCGAGGCCTTTCAATTTGCTGGGTCGTAGAGTGACCCGAACGAGGGCTTGCGCATGGGGAGCAACGCTTCAAGCACCCTTTGCAGCGAGGACGCCGCAGCTGCGGACACAAACCATTCTTCTGAGGCTCTTGGCGGAGTCCAGCGATCTTGTGCCACCACTTGATGTCCAATCAGTTTCCCACTGAGTTTGCAGCAGCAGGACGAGACAGCAAACCCGGAGGCTGGCTGTTACCAGTCCGGCAAGCGGCGCTTGACGCGCCTGCTACGAGTCGCTGCAGCGCGCTGCGCTGATTTGCTAGGGATGCTCAGGGGACGCACTAGAACGCAGAAAAAACTGCAATTTTTCAGCTGACGTCTTACTTTACACTTGCGTATCAACCTGGTGACTTTTTTCTGTTTCCTGTATGATGCTCGAAACAACATGAAAAGTCACTAGTAGTTCTTCTTGGCCATTCCTGAAAATGTTGCTTGAATTCGGAAGGGTAGTCGCGACGCGACATGCATAAGCGCCATAACCCCCCGGCCTTCCTCGTAGCACAAGCGCCAGCCAACCGCGCTGCATTCTGGCGGACGGTGAAGCTTCAGTGTTCACTGGCGAAGATCTGTCAAGTTGGGAAGAACTTGTTTCGCTTACACGGTGCACTTGCTCCAGACGCAGGTTGCAGGGTTGCGCCCAACAACAAGCTCTACTTTCATTCTCTTGACGCGCATCGAATTCCTTTACACTCATAACTTGGGAGCCTTGCCGAAGCCTTGCCGCAGCATATCTGCCACATGGCCGGACCAGTCCGCTTTTCGCTTTTGGGCGGCCCACTTGTTGGTTTTCACCCAGCCATCTTGCAGACCAACAAGCTCGAACATGACAAGAAGCGCTAATCGCAGCAAGCGCTGGTGCCCTGGCGATTTTCACCATCTAGCGCTTGCATCATGGCTTCGCAAAAGACGTCGGAGGCAAAGCTGCCCCAAATTGCGGAGCTTGACCAGGCTACCGCTGAGCCTCAAGCTATCTCGGAGCTGAGCGAGATTTAAACTTAAAGTATGTTTTCTTTTCTGGCCTGTTCGGCTTTGAACACATCCCGACAGGGTTGCAAAACAGCTCAAAATATGGAGATCCTTGGGCGGCAATAGGCCAACCGTCGGGCGAGAGGGTTGCAAAGAGATGCCACGTAGGTCGCAAGCCCTGTGGAGTCCGTTTGGCACATGGGCCAGAACGAGGATGCTATTCTGAGAGACGCCCGCGGGCAGAAAGCCAGATACTGGCCGGTGCCAAGAAGACTTTCACCTCGCTTGGAAGCCACAGGCTTCGTGCGCGACTGGAGCGTGCTGCAATCGCGCTGCCAAAACAAGTGCATCATCACATCCCTCGCGGGGCGTTTTCTGGAAACCCGCGCGCGCAAGTTCAGAGCCCGAAGCAAGCCCCGTGAAAATGACTCCCAAAAGTAGCGTTGAAAACAGAGGCCAAAGTAGCGTTCTAGCTTGTGTTTGACAGAAAGCGGCTGAAAAAAAACCTGACTTGTTTGCTTCTTGTCCCTCACGTGTCATCTTGCGTCCTCTTGCGGAAACAATGTAGCGCTTGCTGCGCTTGTACATTTTGGTTAGTTTCAGTGCCAACCGCCCGAGACAGCCGAGCCATAGAGCGCATTGGCTGACCGGCTTGATGTTGAACTTTCCCCGCGGCTGAAAGAAAAGACAGGTGAAGGATTTCCACATTGTTCCAGTCGTTTTTGAAACCCGGTTCTCTTTGGGTAATTGCGCGGGTGTTGTCAAACAATTATGCCGAAGAGCGCGTCGCGTTTTGCCTGCGTAGCGCTTGCTCTTGTGAAACATCAGTTTTCACGCAGTTAAGGCTGTTTGGTGGCCTGCGCGGGCATATTGTGAAGCTGCACTGCGAGAACTCAGATTGATTGCTGGAAGTACGTGTCATGGTGAGATGGATGATCAGGTTGATGTGCCAAAAGCATGAGAATTTCGGCGGCTCTTTGTTAGCAGCGCGGCGGCCGAGCGCCCTAAGTTCTCGCAAGCCGGGCTTTATCGAATGTGTCTCTCACAGCCCAGGAACCTATTTATTCAACCTCAGGTGTCTGGGTAGGGCGGGCCCGTGCATGTAGGTGATATATATATATATGTATAATTTAATATAATATATATATAATGTATGTATATGTATAGGTATACACGGATCGCAGAAAGTTGTATGCGTATGTAGAGAGATTTATGTATACGCACATACATGTGTGTGCGCTGATCAGAATTTTCAATTTAGCAGCACCGATGTTTGGGGGACATGTTCAGGTATATTTTAGAGGTCCTTGTGTGGAGGTTGTGCACCAGGCAGACATGACCCATACGCAGACCCCAATGATGTGAGGGCATGTCGCCTTCCACGCCGTCAAAAGTATGTGCGCATTCCTTTGCTTCAGCAGGATTAGAGAGGCCCATAGAAACGTTGGCAGAACGAAAAGTGAATGGGCAACGCGCGCCATTTGAACCCAGCCAACCTGCTTGTCCAAATCTTCTGCCGGGATTCCTTGGCGAGTATGGTCCGGCTGGTGACCATGCATAGAACATATCGTGTTGGCCAGGGTAGTGAAACTGCTTGAAGCCAGGCTGATAGGAGGCACTGAAATCCAAATTGGACGCCAACAGACGGCATGCCAGAGGTTCTCCGAATAATGTTTCGTCACTTGACCTTTGCCGTGAAACGGGCATGCATGCAGGAGATCGTGCAGCTTGTTGAGAGCCGTTTTTGAAACATCACTTCCCAGGAATATTTATTCCTTGCTGCTCCTGATTATTGAGGTCTGTTCAGTAGGGCTGTGGTTCAATCTGGACGGGATTGTTGTAAACATGCAGCTGTGCACATGCTATGTTATGCAAACATGGGTGCCTGTGTTGATGTACTATCCCTATATTATATCTATATATGTATATATATATATTGTGTGGCTATGTATATACACACATATATATTCTCTCAGCGCATTGCATAGTATCAGCTCGCATTGCCTTAAGCTCAAAGCATGGGGTCATACATAGATTTGCTTTACTATGTATAGGATCGAGATGCTCTTGAATCTTGAATGCAGGCGGAGGTTTTTCGGCGTTGCTTTCAGGCATTCCGCCTCCGGACTTCGGGGTTATCCCTTGGATCATTCACTAGTTGATCTCCCCACTGTCAGCCAAGTTGTGAGCTGAAATTTATGTCAGTAAATCCGGGCGTGCAAAACGGGTTGCCCAGGTACTAACGGATTGGACGGTCACGGGAACGTCATTGAACCTCTTCATGTGGTTCAAGCTGGAGGACAGTCAGAATGCGACTGAGGATTTCGAAAATTTGGCACCTTCAAGTATGCTTGCCATGGTCCGAGCACGGCCTGATATGGTCATATGAAACTTAAACAACCAACTGTCATGAGGCTTTCTACTATCAGAACCCTGACCTGCCCGAGCGTCGGTTGTCATTGTCAGAAATGCTCAAGTGGATTGTGCAGAGGCTTGTACTTCCGCTGCATCATACAAAGTGCACTGTCATCGCGCCTACCGAGCTTGAAAACACTGTCAGGACTTGATTGATCGACTCAAGCCACCTTGATGACGATTGCTACGCAGGGTGCTCCTGCTCAATATGCTTCACATCGCCGGCCAAAGGCAAAAGCGAGACCATGACCTACGCAAGGTATTTTGACTCTTGACCATGTCTCCGGCAACCATTTGAGGGACTTGGCATGACAAGTCTATCCAGAGGCCCGTGTTTCACCTTCATGATTAATGATCATCTTTATCGCTCTCTCTCCCTCTCTCTCTCTCTTCCTTCGCGCGCGCACACACACACACAAGTGAGGTCTGTAGCCTCCAGCGCAGGACGCCCAGCAGAATTTGTACAAGACCAGGTGCGACATGAACGGCCGAAAGTACGCGACCAGATGCAAGAAGAAATGCTGGTCATCCAGAGCTGGGCAAGTCAAGTGAGCCCCTGTGTCGATTGTTGACTTTTAGACCATGACATGACGGGGCTAGATTCCCGCTGCACACCTGATGGAGGACAGAAGGGCAACCAGTCATCCACAGTGGGGGCATGCGGGTCTGATATATGTCCGAATCAAGTCATTGATGTGACCCGACAATCCCTGGACGAGCTGTTGCATGAGGCTGGATTTGCCAGGCCATCTTTGAGTGTGAGTTTGACACTGTCCTCAGACAATGTACCTTTTGTTGTGGTTGTTGTCATCTATTGATTTCCATAGTGTTGTGTTCGTATGTTTTTGTTGTTTATCCGAGGGTCGGGATACATCTATCTTAAATTGGGCCAAAGTGTCTACATCCAAGGCGTGCCTAGACAAGGGTTGACCACTCAGACCCTTTTGCCCTTCCTTGGGCTCACGTGTTTGAAGCAAACACTCAACCTGAGCTCAAGTTTGACTCGGTTTGATCCGTGCAGATTGTTTGAAACAGGGTCCCACTATCGACTGCTGGGTGTTTGTTCCATCCAAAAGCTGGGACCTCTTGGGTAAAGGTTTTTGAAGCGACACGAGGATTTTACTTGCCAATCCAAGGTGAAGCCATATGCCAAACGGCCCTTGCGGGAGAAGATCCTGCAGGGAGGTTTGTTCCTCCTGGCTTTGCCTGGAACCCAATCGCAGGGCGGACTCCCAATGCGTTTGGATGTACGCTTCCAGGTCCCCCAGTGGTGCGCTTTTACCATTTCTTTTTGGGGGAGGGTTCCTTTAGTAGAATAGACTACACAAAAAAGGGGTACCCTTATTTTAACCTTTCTACTGGAGCACCTAGGCTCGTACCCTCTGCATGAAGAAAGGCTCTGTCATTCTGATGTGTGCGACCTTGCTGGTTTGCTACACTAGCAAATCAAAATCATTCTCGGATCAGGGTGTTTCATGTTCCGGTGTCATGCAGTCTGGAGGTGTCCAGGTTGATTTAAAGTGGTTTTGGCGTGATATGCAACACGTCTTGCCTTTGAGCTTTTGCCTGGCACTGTACATATAGTAGATCAAGCGGCCATCGCTGTCATATCATCACATTGTTGCAAGTGCCCAGGCGGATTGTAAGAAGACGAGCGAAGACCACGCCCAATCACAGCAAAGGTCTGTATAGTATTTATAGCCCACCGGGTTTAGACATATTTACCAAAGAAGTTCATCACGGCTTGATGAGTTGCTTGAGGATTGCACTGATTTACGCAAAGATTTCTCATTGATATGTTGCACTTTCGTGGCAGGGGAAGATACAATTACTCTACTTGGAGCTATCCCCACCATTGGATTTTATCAACTGTCTCTTTTGTCACAGCGGTTCGCTTGACTCTCAACAAGACGGGCCACACGAGGTAGCTTCAAAGAGCCTTAGGGTCTGGTCTGTAGGCCACTGGAATCAGATTCCGAACCTCTTCCATCCTCTTCCCAAGCCTGTCGGTTGATGCAAGGTTCGTGCTCATCGTTGGACCGGTGACCTACTTCTCCACGGCCAACCTGTTCCTCAAGCGACTCGTTATGGCCAGACGGGGGGGGTTGCTTATTCGTCGGAACCCATTGATGATAAACACTTTGGAGCGTATCCGAGTTTAGAGGGCTAACCGTTGTTGTGACTCCGCCAATTTCACTCATCGGGGTCCACATTGTATATGTCAAACCAGATCCATCGACTGCAGTTGTTCAAAAAACAATCAACACATGTCAAGAATAGCCCAATAGTTCTTCAAGGCAGGGCAAGGGCAGGGCAAGGGCATGGCAGGGCTAGATCATGCATTCAAAGCGCTTGCCTGTTAGCATTGATTGCTGTGAGTGCATACTTTGAGCATGGCAGCACATTCAGTGAGAATCAAGTTGTGAGGCAATTAGGTGTCTCTCTTCCACATCCAGCAGCATGCGGAAGATCCCGTCAACGGACTTAACTGCAGAGGATCCTCCGGACAGTCCACTTTTGCAGGGTGAAAACTTCCTCCTAGCCCGCGTGTTTCAGTGAAATCAGCGATTTTCCTTGAAACTATGTCTTTTCTTTAGTATTTAGCTTGACCAGAAGAGATCTACTTAGCAGACATGGTGCTGATGACCTATGGAGGGTACAAGTGGGATAGGTTGCTTTCTTACCCCCCCCCCCATATCAGCTATTGCGTGCCACTAGTTTGCATTGGAGATGGAGGATGAATGCCCTCCTATCATCCCTGTTCCCCATAATAGAATGATGAGTAGCCAAAGGGGATGAGTTTCAAGCAGGAACGATTTTCATGACGCAGAGACAGTTGCTGGTCACTTGCGGGTGGCTTGCCTCACCCTCCTGATATCTAATGGCAATATGACTATTAATCTGTGATTGATTCAGCGTGTCAAGATGCCCTCTTGTTCAGCCGCTACATGGGCTCTAGAACTTTCAATCCCCAAGCAGGTGTCCACTGTTTTCATAGGGGTGCGGGGGGAAGGACCCCCCGTCACCACGACTAGCTCCACCGCCTCCTTCTGAGCTACAAGCATGCAAAGTGAAAATCGTACACGGATGTTGATTCCAGCAAACAAATATTCAACAACGCATTCCTCTGCATGGTGAATTTTGATACTATTTGTTATTTTGTACTCAGAGGCGAAAATCCACTTGCAAACATGGGCAAGAGGATCTCAGAAGGAATGCTGACCACTTGTAGTTCTGCTGCCTTAGTCCCTGCTAATCCTTCATGGGCAGTGGACAAAACGATTATTGAGTGACCGACCTATGCAGGGTAGAAGTGGGGCAATCATTCTGTTGCCTTCCATACCAGCTATTGCACTCCACCGGTTTGCATCGGAGCTAGAGGATGAACGCCTTCATTGAATGATAGAATGATTGCTGGCGCGGCATTCATGATGTAGACATGCCTACTACCCCATTTGCAGGTATGGAGGGTGCACGAGGGATAAATCAAGGGACCCTCCTAGGCCTAGGCGGGGGACAAAGAAACAACAAGGAAGAGGCTGGGGTCATTGTTTTTTCTCCCCCCCCCCCCCACCGCAGGGCCCCCTCATCTCTCCATGAATATGCAATATGTTCTACTTTTCTTCCTTGAATCTATGCTGACTACTCAGATGCGGATTTGTGTGGAGGCCGCAGACTCTTGCTCATGAACGCACAAATTTTCAAGGCCACAACACGTGTGAAAAGCGCAGGCCTCCACAAGGTCAGTTTCCTTGCAAAGGTCCCTCCCCAGAGTTCTAATGGTTGATTCCAAGTCCATTCTTTTTAACCATCGCTTTTTCTTTTCAAACACCGATTGCTGTTTCTTTCCCCATATTTTTGGGGTGGGTTTTTTTAGAAAGAAGGACGCTTGGGAGTAAAAAAAGAAAGAAACGAAGGGGGCAGCTACCCCTCGAATCGTTTGTGCATCTCACCGCCTGCCGAGGAGCAACCTGGTGTACACCGGCTCTCTGAAAGCCAGCTTGGAGGCCTGGGCCTTGCTCAAACACCGCGGGAGGTGACTCGGAAATCCGCACGGGGCCCTTTTCGGGGGCTAGTGGGTCTGAAGGGCGAGTCAAGAAGGAAAACCCGGGGCCGGGGAGCAGATTCCGAAGTGTTTTTTTTTTCTTCCCCCAACAGCTGAAAGCTTTGGGGTCGATAGGCCCAGATAGGCTCCGGGGTGGTCCGGGGCGGCCCTGAGGTAAGGTTCCACGAGAGTTCCACCAGGGTTCCACCAGGGTTCCACCAGGGTTCCACAAGGTTCTGCGAGGGCTGCAGGGTGGTGCGAGCACTAAAAAGAGCACCGCATGCTGTTGAGGATATCACCTGAGTCTCTTTGTTTTAACGACGTGTATCCAAATGCAATGCCCTGGGCCGAGGAGGTATTGTTGCTGTATGCAAGTGACATGGCAAGCCTCAAAGAGCAAAGAGCCCGACGGGTTGCGAAGCTGCGCGTGTATTTGTGTGAGGCCCCAAAAAACATGTCTACATCCATGTCATACAATATATATATATATATATGTATATATATACACACACGTAAATAGTGCCAAAGACGAACCCCTGCGCCCAGCATCAGGATTTCAGATTTCTGGATTCAGACGGTGTTCTGTGTTGTCATCTAACTCAGGCGACATTGCTCGATATACATGTATACATACATATATATATATATATGCTCACCTCCCCCCCTGCGCAGGGCCTACCTTTCCACTTCAACATGTACAAAATATTCTTAGTTTAAAGGGGGCTGACCATACATATATATATATATATAAGTGTTGCTGCGCTGCCGGTACCCATGGCAACAATTCCACCCTCCCACCCAGGTTCCGAGGTTTCGCTGGTAGGGAGCGGGTTCTTTTCCTGTAATGCACCCGGCGTGCCAGGCAAAGCAAAGAAGTGGTTCTAGTCTTGAAGAACCGAGGAACATGTTCCGGTCACAAAGAAGCACAGCTACATGTACGGTTTGGCAGTTGTAGCCGAAACCAAGCAGAAACGAAAGCCCTTGCTTGGCAAGCGTGAGTGGACATAGGGCCCTTTGTTTGCTGGCTTTGAACAAGAACCCGCAGACCGCCAGCTAAAAAAGTACTAGCGCATTCCCGGTTGAGTGTGATGGCGGGCCTCATCAACCAACCACCAGCCACGGCGGCACTGTACCACACAAGCCTCAGGTGGAGTTGGAGGGTGGCGGCATCAGCCAGCTGCCTCTCTACGATACCGCCCAGGCAGACATCAGCTTAGCAAGAAGCAGGGGGTCCAAGAAATGCAGTGGATGCCAGTCCCCACTTGAAGCAAGGAGCCCTACCTGTCCTCTTCCCGTTTTGATTGAAACTGCACCTTGTTGACAGCTTGCAAAATTGTTTTCGGGCATGGGGTGATGTTTCAATTCTTGTTTATATATGCTTGACCTTGAAACTGTGTGTTTCACATTGGCAGCTTGGGAAAGAAAGTAGTTGGAGGCATGTGTGGGCTCTTCATTTGAACAGTTGCAACCGATATCGGCGTATCGTCTCCATTTGGGCCTTGGATTGCCAAAGGTTTGCACAGTTGGCCTGCAGTGATTCATGCATGAATGCTGTAGAATGATATGATATCACGTGATAAAATCGTATGAGATTAGGCATACGTTGTTTGGCTTGTTGTTCCATGTTCTCATATCAGTGTATTGTGTATGTCGTATGATTGCTCAAGACCATGTGTTTTATACCTTAGGTGTGTGGTAGTTGTAGTTCTGTTCCATCCATTTGCGCCATGCGACCCTTGGCCGTGCATAAGGTGACGAGACCCTCAAGTTCGCGGCCAGCTACCCCAGCATGGGGAATGCAGTGGATTTGAACCTGCAGACTCTTGGCTGGGACGAGAGACAGCAAGCCAGGGCAGTCGTTCGGTTTCTGTTAAATTACCAACCGGGTGTTCCGAATTTGAGAAAGCATCCGAGGTGGAGCTAGCTTGAGCGGACGACTGGGTTAATCTGAGGGCTAGCTTGAATAATTCCTTACTAGTGTTCTATCGTTCATTGTTGTAGTTATCTCGCTTTAGTTGGGATGTTGGGAGTGATCAGGAGTATGATTCCACCTATGAAGCTAATGGTTCACTTGGGGTCCGCCTTTGATGGTTAAACATCGGAGATTGGGGCCTCGTCCGCCCTGCTCGCTTGTTTGTGGCTCAAGTGGATCTGGGTAAGAAACTGGCAGGGCGCAGCTTAGCATATCGCTGCAATCATGTTCCATGTAGCAATGTAAACCCCGACTGTGCGGCAGTCAATTAGAAAGGTTCGCTGCACGTTTACTTTTATGGCAGCCATTGTGAATGTTGGTCCGAATTCAAGATGGTTGAGTTTGACACCAGGAAGCACTTTTCAGGGCGAGCGACAAGTCAAAGGTACAAAACAACAACCAATCGGTTGGTGATGCAGAGACATCGCACCAGATGATCTTCAGTTCCTTCGCTCGGTTTGGTGGACTGAGAGGCTTGCGGGCTTCATGAGACCATGTGCTGCGTGGAGTGCTAGCCCCTGCTCCGTGGCTGGCCGCTGTTTCCTGATCCTGAAAGTCATGCGGAGATTCGCCATGTGGCAAGCCTACGAAAGGGAAAGCCGCGAGCTCATGGCTTCTGTGGCTTCCTCAGGTCATTTGACAGTGGCATCCCCCAGACTAACATGGAAGCTCCAGGACGTCTTTTGAAGACCTGGTTCCATTTACAGGGGCTTCCAGGATTGTCTGAGGGAGCTTAGCTGTTTTTTCCCGCCTGAGGAAGGTGATCTTCCCCAAGTCTGCGGACAACCTCTGGCTGGTGTCCAACTCATTGCGGACGCAGGTGGCGACGCAGCTCAGCGGCTCGCACGGAATGGATTTTGTTGGTCTGTTTTGCTTCTGATGTGTCGTTTCTTCCCTGCTGGCTTTAAAGGGGAGTGGTCATGACTGGTAAATACTTCTTCGTTTTGTGGCACCATATGCGGGTGGAAGCGACCTCGAAGGGGCTGAAGGGAGAAAGTTTGGTCTGGGACTGGAAATTCGAGGCTCAAGACGGCAGGCAAATGCACATTCCCCAAGCTCCTAAGCAATGCATCCTCCCCACGTTGAGTTAGTGAACCGACTTGGCCTTGAGGCAAACACGTGTTGTTCAGGCGAGCTTTTTCATCTCCATGTTTGCAGGGCTCTAACAGAGGGCCTAGGCAAGAGCTTGTCCATTGGACACAGCTGGAGGAGGGGCCTGCGTCTTGAGTGAGGCAACTTCTTCGTTGGGTCTCGTTTGGATGCAGCTTGCGGATGAACAACTTTGTAGTTTGCGAAGCCTTCATGCTATTGTTCCAAGGGCACTGGGCACAATTGAAGACAGGCCAAGAAGCAGTGGCACACGCCGTGCTCCCAAGAGCTGCCAGAAAGTCCAGCTCCCGGGCGGGCATTCAGCCCTCGACATCCAGGAAGCCACGGAATTTTCCAACGAGGGCACCCACAGAATCACAAAGCAGAGATCTGCCGGAACCGCACCAAGTTCCCTTGTGCACCACGTGAAGTCGAAGAAGGTCGCCGGCAGACTGGGTTTGATTGTGGCCCCAAGTGGCCAATGACTCATTCTCCGCTCAGCTCAGTACGGCAACCACTTCGCTTTGTGCAAAAGCCGCGTCCAAGGCAAAGAGCACCTCCAATGCGCTGGAACTCAGCAGTCGCTCTTCACCCACCAAGCTCAAGACACCATGGTCTTTCGGGTGCCACTACCCGGCTTTTGCCCACCCACCAAACGAAATGAGCAGGAAACACGAAAGTCTTAAATGTTTTGCTTGTTTGAACGGTGGCCAGGCAGATGCGTTTGGCCCTTTGTGGCCTTTGGGATGTACCTCCTCACCAACGCAAGGCGCCGCACTATTAAACCTGTATGTCATAATATATATATATATATGTAATTACCAAAACAAAGTTGTCCTTCACTCGGCCTAAGTCCGCCTTATTCCAAATGGGGCTGCGTGGCAGCTTCGGGTACAAACAGTGAGGTTACCAGCCTAAAGTCAATCACCCGTTCAGTGTAGATTGTATTGTCGTCTCTTCTGATGCTATCCCCGCAAATGGCCATGGGTCAAAATCCCGTACCCCGAGTGAACATCCCAATCCCCACTAAAATAGACTGAAATGGGTGGTGCACCTACCCCAAATGGTACCATTGGTTTTGACCCACAGCCAAATCAAGGTCCTGAAAAGTTGTTTTTTCCCCGAGAATCGCTGTCTCGACACTCAACTCATGTTAGTCTCGGCCAAGGCAGCAACGGCACCAAGGCCAACCTCGTGGTGATGTACCAGTTCCAAGGCCCTGCTCGCCAGTATCAGATCCAGTCAAGAGCTTATTTTAAATGATTGTCATATAGTCCAATTGAAGCGCGGCTGGACCCTCACAAATGCCATGCCTATCTTGAGTCCAAACATCTTTCAGACGAGATGATGTGGCGTCAATAGCCGTTTTAGACACAGTCTCATGCAGGTGCCTTAGTTGAAACTGGCGGGGTCCATGATGCATCTCAGAGGCTCGCAAACTGAACCTGAGTCTTGGGAGTTTTGGTATTGCATATGAGGCAAGGGCGTGGATGCCACGCTCTTAATGTTAGTTGCTGGTTCAATGCGGTTCTTGAGGATATTCGGGTCTCTGAAGCATATGGTTGGCCTTGGGGCACCCACTGTTGGTCGAGTGGGCTCAGCAGCAAATCCTCAGGGCAATTCAAAGGATCCAAACACGGAGCTTGGGCAAAAGGTGGCATACTTAGTTACTTGCATTGAGGCAGGAAGGGGATGGACAGTTTGGTCATGTGGCAACCTGCGCGAACCTTCCGCGAAAGTTCCAGCAGTTCCGCAAACTAGAAGTGCTGTTGGCGAAAGTGTTGTGTTGTGGGGCCTTTAGTCAAGGACCTCACGCAATTAATGAGTCCCGCGCAGAGTCCATGAAATTCGCTTCTAGCTTCCGTCCTCTCATACTACACTCTTGCTGAAAAGCTGTGATGCTTGAACAGGAAGAAGCTACCAAAGTGCTGTTGCGTACGACACTTTTTGCCAGCTGAAGCTGTGAGGAGTTTTTAATTGTGCATTTGACAATTTACTGTTGGACTAGTGTAAGGTTTTTTTGTGAAATTGGCTCCGCGATGGAGTCCTGAAAGGTTTGCGAAACATTTGCTTGGTTCTGTCCATTTGCGGAAACAAGGCCGCCGCACGAGTTTTTCAGGGTTGGCTTGGCCGTTGCCAAGGGTGGCCAGGACTGCCCGGTCATTCAAAACCCAACATCCCATTGCAAGATGCAACGTGGTACAGGTGTATCCCCCCTTGCGACAGGAAATCTGACCACCTCAGGGAGGGGCATGGGTCGCTCTCCACCTGTGGCTTTGAACCAAAGCCAGGCTGGGAGAGAGGAGCCAGAGGTCACACTGACAAAAGGGGCACTTGCATTTGCTATTCTCTGAAGCGGACAAGGGGCCTGCTCTCTCTTCGATTTGTTTGTGTTCTGGCCTGGGCAACAGTATAGAGGTTGTCTGAATCTTGTTCTGATGCATGTTTCGAGTATCGTTGCTGGCCGTTCTTTGACGCTTTGGGTATTGCCTTGGCAATTCCTGAACTGAGGTGTTGTTATGTGTTGTTTTGCTTTTTGTTTGTCGTTTTTTTTTTGACTTTGTCCATGAGCACGGATGAATCGATCGAATGCCAGTTGCGCCTCATTCTGTTTGAGTCGTCTCATCGGAGCAGGCATGCTGGCCAAAACGTCGCAGTTGCCGATTCAGTGGACTTGACTTCAGTGCACCCCCCCGATTCATCCAATTCGTTCAAGGATTAAATAAGTGTGGTGAGGAGAACAGGGGTCAAAAAGCAACTAGGGTCAAGCAACATGTACATGCTCTTCGTCATTCAATGTTGGATCCCGTAAAACGTTTGTGTTTGATGAGTGCCGAAACAGTCGAGGAAGGCAAGAGCAGGCACGGATGAATACCACCATGATGCACCGGGTGTGGCTTTGCTTCGTGCTGCGTGTTGATGAATCACCCCATTCTTGCCCTCTAGGAACTTTGCTCAGCTGGGCACGAATATATTTTATGCAGACGCCGCATGTTCAGCTGTTGTTAATTATCCCATGGCACCCGTGATCACCTATTCACCTGCATTTGTGGGCAAAGTTTCACCAGTCTTTGGCAGACCATCCGACATGTCCTTCTCTCTGATATCCTGCGGCAAGAGGTCTTGGCACTGGGAAAAAAAGCGTACCCCGATATGGGGCCCCGTTCCATTTGATCGCCTCGTTGTGCCAACGCCTCGAAGCACGCGATTGTGGCGCCGAGAGGTGTCTAGCCTGGCGAAGGCCTTGGCCAACACCTCCTTCCAAGGCCGGACGGGGTTTGGTCTGGTGGAAGGATGCTGCTTCCCTGAAGGGCAACATGTTAGATGTTAGGAGTGAGGCAAGGGGTTGCCATCTTGCGCTGTTTAAGGATGGTTTGTGCAGAAGCATATCAAAAGTGTGAGTTTTCTTTTCTGCTGGCAAAAGACTGTCGCGATTTTGGCGTGAGCCTAGTCTCGTTGTTGGGCTTGTTCAAGAAAGTAACGATGTAGAACGTATGATCTAGTGAAAATAGTTGCCAAGGAGTAGATCAATGCACCCTTCATGAAGAAGACGCTCGCTAACATGTTGATCAGGTCTCCTGAATCGTGTGAGTATTTGCATTTTGCATTCAGCACTTCACACACCAAGGCTTTCAAAGACAGCAGTCATAGTCATGTGCAATCCTTGAGAACCAAAAATCCATTCCTGTAAGCAACTGTAGATTAGTTTGGGATAGTTGCGAACACTTCATTTTGTGTACTCCTCGGCCAGGCGAGTCCAGCATCGAGGTGCCTTGCAGCCTTCAGTCGGCCTTGCTCATTGATTCCTCCGGACAGGCGCGCGCCACGTTTCGGGCTGGCCCAGCCAAGTGGCGTTCAGCAGTGCCAAATACCGTTTTGGCCTTAGAGGGATTTCACCAGCTATATGAGGATTGTAGTGCATGTAACTGGATTTGGGTCCCGTTGCTGACCTGCAGGTTGTATTTCCCAGAAGCTGCTGGGAGAGGATGGCAGATTGAACTCCTTGTGCACAACACCCTCAATGTGTAGAAGTCTAACATCTTGATGTCAGCGATACGGTGGGATACAAGATGCTCTCATTGCTTGTCTCAACCGGCCGATTGACAACAGACAGAAAGCGCTTTGCGTTTGGCGCCGGCTTTGTGGCTGAAGTCCCCGCCAGTTGGCCGCTTTGAGAGTTGATGAAGCAGATGACCCTTGTGGTTGGTCAAAGGAAAATGCAAGAGGGCCTCAAAGGGACGGTTTGACGAATTGGTGAAGCTTGTTGGTTCGCGACCTTTTTGAAAGCGCTCGGCACACATGGCTAGATTTGAGGAGATTTGATTTGTGGTGTGTTCCAAAAGCTTCCAAAAGTTGGGTGACTCCCCCCCAAAAAAAAACGTGTCGCTTTCGTGCCTGCTTTCTGCCTAGCAACCCAAAGGCAGTCGACACATTGGCAGTCCATGAGCTGACGCCCCGAGCGCTCCATGGCACAGGTCTCTGCCATGGGTGCCTTGAGCTCCCTTAGCCTCTCGGCTCGGTCGGCACATGGTCTCCAACACCGGGGTCACCAGAAACTTGGTGCATGTGGCGGCCTTTTTTTTTCTGTTTTTTTTTTGTGTTTTTTTTTGTCTGTGTGTGTGTGTGTTTTTTGTTGTTTTCCTGTTTTTAAGGGAGCCCCGAAAAATGGTTGGTGTTCGCTTGGTTTCCATTTTAAAACCGACCAAGAAGGGTATCCTCAAAAAAAAACATATGGTCCAGATGGCGGGGGAAAAGGGTTGTAGTTGTACTTGTAATTGCATAGACGGATTAGGTTATTTGCTAAATGTACCAGGTGTGCTGGGAATGGTCCCAACAGTAGGTCTTGGGTGGCTGGACTACCGTCCCTTGTTTGTGTTGGATAGAAGGGGTGTCAACAGAACCAATTACCCAATTTTACGAGGTTCTCTGTCTTTGGACCCAGCTTGATAAGGATGGTCCTCAAACCTCCTCAAGCCTGCAATAGGGATTTTGCCCAAGGATTTTTGGATTTTTGAAGCCAATGCAATCTGGAAGCGATATTGTTGGCATGAAAAGCTGTTGGTGGCCCGAATTCAAGTTGTATTTCTCTACTTGTTTGTGTTTCTCTCGGATGAGTGGAGGGATCTACGTTTGGCAAAGATGCAAATCATGACTCCGGGTGCTGAAGGTTGGGATGGTGAATCATGTTGCTTGCACCCACATGCCCCAAGTCATGCCTCACTGCTTGGAACTAGAAAATACGTGTGGATCATCGATCAGCTGATGCCGGCGCTTGAACAAGAAATGCTTTCATGCTAGTGTTTATACAGGTGCCCATGAATCGGAGAGTCGCCTTTGGGCCACCAATTCAGGAAACTGAGCCCCCTTGGCCAGGAATTGTCAGCTGAAGTTGGAAGGTTTGGAGCTACTCTGCGGCTACAAGGGGTATGAGAGTCAGACCACACCATGCCCCCAATGGTTTGTCTCATTCGAATGGACGAGCCCTCGTCCATAGCCGAGGCCTCACCCTCTCCTCTGAGTCTGGGTCACAGCTGCCACAATGGTCCATGGCAGCTTGGCAGAGAGCGAACGCTCAAAACCCGGCTAGATGAAGGTCAGTCAGGGGCAGTCCCAGCCAGAAATTATTTCTGATATCCGCCTTCTTAATTCGTTACATGGTTCTGGGTAGACCATTTGAATAACAGCAGTGAGGGCCATTCCCAACCACAAATAGGCTTTTGGCCGCTTTTGCACTTCCTTACCATGGGTTTTGGCAGGACTCCTTGCGAGATGAGGTGTTGTTTATTTGTGGTTTGGCAGTTGACACCCTCATCATTTGGATAGATGCATGATCTGAGCGCTCTTTGTTGGCTAGCGCCGGGTGTTCCCTTAACATTACGCAGTGGGCCGAACAACTTGCCAGAATGTACCATGTTTGCGGCCAGCCTTGCGACGTATCAGTGTTCAGGCTTCGCATGGGTCAGTTGAGCAGCTTGGTCACCAATATGGATTTCATGATATTTCATGTTGGCGTTGATTGCTTGGCACTGTTGTGGGTTGCGTGGCCTGTTGGCTTCACAAGCTGTTCAAGTCCAAGTGGCAGTACGCCACTCCAATCACTGGCCCTCCAGTATGGCATGGGCATTGTCCTTTTGAGCTGAATCACCAGCGTTGAAGTCGAAGCTTCCTTTTCTTCGTGCATTTGCGCGCGCACCTTTTCGCCACAAATCAAGCCTGTCCTTGAGCCATGAGGTTTTGATTCAAGGCAAGCAGCCAGTCCAAGAGAATATATGTTGTGTGAAGAGGGCATTGTCGGCTTGTTCTGTGCGGGTTTTCAGTAAGCTGCCCCCGCCATTTGCTGTTGGTCAAGGTGACTTGGATTTGGTGGCAAAGGCATGCGCCAAGTTGCCTGCCAAGGCCAGTAGTTGCCAGCCGTGCTCAAGCACGCCGGCAGCACCTGGGCTAAAGAGGTAGACGCTTCGGCAGCCCCCTGAGGGAGGAACAGCTGGCATACGTTTGACGCGTTCCATGCATGTCCATTCCAGAACATGATGGCCTATATATATATGTAGACACATATTTTGCGAAATACAGTCATGCAAAGCGAGGGGTTCTTGTGACTTTTACCCTTTAGGTACGACGAGTGATTTTTGGAGTGGTACGGGGAGTACAGTGTGGAGGGGCGCGATGGGTACGGTCGAGGGGCGGAGCGTACCCCATGGATTTTAGCGCCGTCTCGTGTTGTGACAACCCGATTCGTGGCGCAAAAAACTATAAAGAAGGGTAGGGTTTTGGGGGGTACCGTGCGGGGGTGTGGGGGTACGGTATGGGGCATGGCGGGTACGGGGCGGGGATGCTGGTGTTGTATGGGGGTATGGTACCGTACCCCTCGCTTACCGTCGCACCCATTGGCTGTACCCATCACACCCTTGACCGTACCCATCAGGCGTACACTTTACCCAAATGACCGCACCATGGGCACGGCCCCACTAATGACTCTTAAAATTAGATCGGGTGTCAATAAGATGTATTTATGTATCAATTTATGACCGTTTATTTAATCATTTATTTGATCATGTATTTATTTGTTTTTCTATTTGTTGATTTATGTATTCATTTATTGATTTGCTTATTTATGTTTATATTAAATGTATATTATATATATATATATATATGTGGACAAGCCATTGATGTGCAATAGAACCTGGGACCAGCCAAAATGAAGTCCTTGCAGAAAATTGACTCTGGGGAGTGTTTGATTCGATATGCTGAGGAATTGTAAGACAATAGCAATGGTGATATGCATGGTATTTGGAATCTATGTTCCCGTAGAACGCTACAAGGTGTGTAACTCATGCGTATGCCGCACGCGCGAATGTGCGATACATTGCGACACCTAGTACGTGCAATTGGTCACACGCATGTGGCTCGAGCATGCGGGCTTGCGGGTTGTATGTGTGTGTGTGTGTGTGTGAGTTGGCGAGGGCGTTATTGTTTGTTTTTGTGTTTGTCGCTGTGTCCGAGTGTTGTTAGCTTGTATGTGTTTGTGTTTGCGTTCTCTTCTTCCCAAATTGGCACGACTGCAGGCCATTGCTTTTGAACTTAGGTCTTAGGTTAAGCCGCGTTTCTATTGGTTGTAAGCTGGGCCATGTGTTTGTGTGTATGTCCTTTCTTGCACGCAAGCATATGTTGTCTCGTTGGCACTCGAGCTTCCGAGCTTTGGCTATGACGCCCGAGGAGGAGGAGCGGTGTCCCGTCTCCTTCGAGGTGGCCAGTGAGAAGGCATGGAGAGTTGTCAAATTCGGGACTCAGTTTGGTATCTCGATCCAGCAGAAACCTGTCCTCTGGACTTTTTCAGCCACAGTCATCAAATCTGAAATGAACGCTTGCAAAGGCCTATGCGATGAGATCTTTTTTTTCTCCGGGTCAGCAGAATCAGCCCACAACTTCGGAATGGCATCCTCCGCCTGCGCACACTTCATTCTACAGATGGGTGCGACAGATCGTGAGCCTTTGTTCACAACACGTCAAAGCGCCTTGTGAACTATCCAGGCCTGGCAGCACTTGTTTGGGTTGCGAGCTGCTTTCTGGGGGACCACCTCAGTGTCTGCAGAGAACTCCAAGAGCCGGGCAGCAAGCCGGCCTCGTCACGAAACACGGGCCCAATGCTCAGAGGATGTGCAAACTCGAGTCTTCTGAAAGGCCCACGCTGATGGCAGAAGCTCACATTCAGGAAACCAAGGAAAAGCATGTGATGCCATGTTGGGTTTGACACTCTCTAGGTGTTCAGACCAGGACTTTGTTTATGTGGTGTGTGTTGCTTGTTCAACATGTCAATCGAAGAGATTGGTTTCACGTTGTTTTCTTCTTGGCTGCCACTGAGGTCCCAATTGAAGATGGGTTCTACTACCTTTGATGGGATATGATATGGCGTATGAAGTACACCGATATATTTAATATATATATATATATATATTCACACTTGTAGCAATGTTCATGTTTGCCAAGCTCATTGATCCTGAATTTCGCATCGCCAAAGCACATGGTTCCACAGATCAGTTACTTCAGTGGGTGGGCCCTTCGCACAAAACACGTGCTTTAATTTCAGGAGCTGCCCTTCTGAGACTTCCGTATCATTGCGGGCTTCCTGCAACTACTGGAGAGAGTCCCTGATATCACCTGATATCTTTGCAAACAGCATTCGGATTCCTATGCAAGATTGCAATCCCGGACAGGGTAGCCAGATGAACTGAGGTCACCTTTTCCGCTTGGATATCCCATCTCCCTACGCTTACCATGGGATGTAGGCCCCAAGGAAAGGAACGGGTCCTTGCGCATTTGCTCGTGAAACCGAGGAAAGGAGTGTCGAACCCCATATGCCGTGTCCAAAGTTCATGTCAGACCCCATACTCCTGAATCTGGACAAAATCCGGAGGAAAAGTATGCGGGAGCTTCCTGTGTTTCAATTGAAACCAGCCACTTAGTGTGTTCACCAGATTTGAGACCCCGCCTCAGAATTTGGTCACTGCTTCCAAGAGAAGCTATTTCTTGTTGAATATGTTCCGCAATGTTTGCTTCGTCATGTGGCTTTGTAGTCCGTCGGTCGGACCCCCCCCACCCCGGAGTTTTGACTGTTGCTCACAAGCAAACAGGTGGCACCGACACCTACGGGAGACAGTTCAACAAACTACAACGTGATGGGCATCTACTTGGGTGCGGTTGCCCATGTCAACCGAATTGCCCTGGACCCTATTTGTCGTTGCGCGGAGTGACGGTTGCATTGTTGGCAGGGGAGTCAACTGAAGGCGAGCATATGTCCTGATCAGTTTGGCAAAGCGGCCGCAAACGCCGGCACTTCCCAGCGATCTCTCAGTCGGTTTGTTGCATGACAGAGTCTTTTGGTATCAATCGCTGGGCCTTCTGCAGAATGCACCCTTTGACGCAGCTAAATACGGGAAAGCAGTGAGACGAAACGGTTTGCCTTGATGAAGCAAGAACATACTGCGATCATGGGAGTTAGTGAGAGGCAAAGTCAGCCCAGCCCAAGCTGAGACAAGAGATAGAAAATAAGAGATGGAGTCTTTCTTCGCTTGAGGAAGGTAAATGCATGGTTACTTCAATGATCACGAGGCGTTGCATTGCATGCTTTCTGCTCAGAAAGCGGTATGAGATTTGCCTGCTTGGTTTGGACATCTCCAATCAGCAGTTGCCAACGTTTGTTCTAGGTATTTCCAGGTGAAGCAGCGGGAAGCAGCAAATCAAACGGGAACGCCGGCAAATTCCTTGAGAACAACCTGTTCTTGTGCATCGTGGCTGCTTTCATTTAGCCTCCACACTCAGGCTTTGGCTTGCATCATCCAATAGCACTCCTGTACTGAGGCGTTGTGTACACCATCGGCCGCTTCTTGCGCTTCTTGGCCGAGACTTTCTGGCTTCAAAGTCAAATGGACAGCAACAGCCAGTGTCGAGGTGGCGATCCCTTCGGCTCGTTTGCCAAGGTGGACAGGAGGCTGACAATGTCGCAAGATTCACGGGCAACACGAGTGTTGCCCCTTTAACGTTAAACAGTCGGTTTTTCATGCAGTGCGCAAACAACCCGCCAAACTAAGCAGATCCTGGCCACCATGAGCTGAGGCGAGCTCCGGCGAAAGGTGCCGCTCGAAAATGTCCCTTAGAAGTCGCCCAGAAATAGGTGCAGCATCAAAAGTGCCGCTCGGAAGATTTTCTTAGGGCCCCTCTAAACTGCTTGGGAGCCGTCGCCGCATCTGAGTCAGTCTAGGGTCTCAACAGCGAATCTGAGATCTGTCTGTCCAAAGTCCTGTTCACAACTATTGGTGAGGGTTCATGCTCCTCCTTGCCCAGGCTTCATTTATCGACAGATACATCAGTCATGTAATTAATCACATAGGTTCACCAATAGCAGGCAGCGGTTTTTTTCCAGACATCTGACTAGCAAAGTGCATCCGGGCCGAAACGGTTTCATTTGGTTGTCATGCCATATTGTTTGACTTTGCCCCAACTTGTTTCCAGCCCGACGCACTGGATCACTACCTTGGGCTGGGCCCAAAGCAACGCAAGCTGCGAACTTGCAATGAGGCCCGTATATCTCGCATGTGTTGGGTGTCCTTGCGACTCTGCTTGCGTCATCCCGCAAGCGCTGAGGCTTTGTCTTCCAGGATGCCTCCAAGCGAGTCATCTACGAAGAGATGAATGATACCGAGCTCTTAGAGGACCATATGGGCATGGGTCAAAATTAAACTACCAGGGGACCGCAGGTTATGGTCCATGTTTCCACTTACCAGGGTTCCATTTTGGGTACATATGTTTGACCCACAGCCATATGTGCCTGCCTGTCCGACCCCATTCCCAAAAAGCATTAACTATGAGCAAGGCTGCTGCACCTCGTTTTTGACATGCACATTCAGCAGTGAGGGTCTGTTGAAACATCGGCTTGGGGCACTGTTGCAGTGATCTTGCTAGAAAACGAGTGCCAACGCCGATGTAGAAATGGATTGATGTTTCAAGTGAACATCTGTTGGATGCAGATCACCCAGTTCGGACTTGGAGGACCTTTGCAATGGGATCTACATTGCGCGCATCACTGGCGACTTGGAAATGGAGTACAAGCGCCTCGGACTTACGAAAATCACAAAAATAAAAACAAAGCGAAGGGCCTTGGCTTCCAGCTTCAGTATAGAACTCTTGCAAGAAAGGCTGCACGCTCTTTGCATGTGCTGGCAGATCGAGCAACCTGGTAGAACAGTCGTGTTGGAATATTATAACGTGAGGGGCTGCATCATTACACATTGTTATAGTATCCTCAGTGTACCCCACACCCCATTCTAATTATTGAGGCCCTTCTATTGGACCCTTCAACAGAAGAGAGAGAGCGCGAGCATCAGCACGAGATGACCCCAGTGGTTGTGCTTCAAAATGCCGGGACAAACTGAGCGTCTTCCGAGCAAGAACAACTTCACATGAATTGCAGAGCTGTCATACTCGAGAGTCTCGAGCCAGCTTCAGCTTAGCGTGAAGCACACTTGTATGGCTTTCAACAGACTCTGATTCAGTTTGTGGCAAATGCACTGGGATACACATTTGAAGGTTGGTTCCCTGAAGTTCCCTTTGCTTTTGTGAAGGCGCACTTCCGCTATGCGCTATCATTGTTAAGGACTTCGATGAGGTCTGTCATGTGTTCTGCACTCTCTGGCAGACTCATTTGCATATGCAAAATGTGCAGTGGCAATTGGTTTGATCGGCTGGCGAATCACACCTCATCAGTTCTTCTATTGAGTCATGCTGTCATGCATCACTTGCCTTGGCGAACCCGGAAAGAACACCCGCTGGCGGATTGGTTTTGCTTAGGTTCTACTATGAGTTGATCCGCATCTATCGGAGCCCCGAGCTTATGCTGGACATCTCGAAGCCCAAGGTGGAGCCTGGGATGCCAACTTTCCCCGGGCAACTTTGAGCGGGCTTTGGTGTCCGTGTGTGCGTATGAAGTTGTGTTGTGTGGGGTGGTGTGGGGTGGTTTGTTATGCTATTGTTGTGTTGTCATTGCTGCTGTGTGTTTTGTTTAGAGTTTGTGTGTGTGTGTGTGTTAATTTGGATCGTGCTTGTGTGTTTGTGTGTGTGTGTGTCTTGGCTGGCTGGCTGGCTGGCTGGCTGGCTGGCTGGCTGGCTGGCTGGCTGGCTGGCTGGCTGGCTGGCTGGCTGGCTGGCTGGCTGGCTGGCTGGCTTGTTGGTTGTTCGGTTGGGTGCGTGGTTGGCTGGTTGGCTGCTTGCCTGCCTGCCTGCGTGCTGGCTGGCTGGCGGGCTGGGCTGGGCTGGGCTGGGCTGGGCTGGGCTGGGCTGGGCTGGGCTGGGCTGGGGTTGCTTGGGGTGGTCGCTTTTCTTGGTTTTGTTGCTGCTTGATTGCTTGCTTGCTTGAGTGCTTGCTTGTTTGTTTATTGGTGGGTTGGGGCACGTTGATGCAGGAGACAAGACGGTCGGCAAGACTGCTTCGTGTTTCTTCCAAAATAGAGTTGTTGTGGTTTTGCAACAAATTTGATGAAGCACCTGACAAGCCAAGGATACTGGGCACTTCCCGACATTTGTCTCTGAGCAGGCCGAGTGACTCCCTTAGTGTCAGTGACGTCCTGCACCCCAGTTCTCAGGGAGATTAAATTCGCTCTTCAAACGTAGTACACATGATATATTCGTACGCACCGTATATTGGGTATCGACACACACACACACAAGACATGCATGTATACCTCACCTCCCGCCTGTAAGTAGGCCAAGTAGGCATGCGACTATGGACGGACAGGTTTTGGTCAAGCATCCCAAGCAAAGTGTTTGGCTAAACCATTGTGCTGGCAGATTCCGCAACCTGCACAGACACACATGCATATGCTTCAAACAAGCTGAGCAATCATGACATACCTTGAGCGCTTGTTGCGCAGTTTGTAGTATGGGCCACGGGAGCAATGTACAACGTGCGCTCTCAACCTGCCAGGCATACGAGTACCCCACAACCACCAGGAACCGCTAGTACTACCCAGAGGCGATATCCATATCCGGACAATACTGTCAGCTGACATTCCTTGAGACTGTTGTGGAAGAAGCGAATTGTCTTCACTGATGTCTAATGTCTTTCAATCAGCTTCACATGGAACATCAAAAGCGGTTTCCGTGTTCGATTTGCAAGCATGTTTTGGGAACCGCAGAGTTGCAGTGTTGTTTGGATGTATCAACACAAATTGAATTAAAGGAAGTTCAACAAGAACTACCGTAGCACTGGCTGGAACCAAATGAGCTAGCTCTCTAAGAATAGATAGACAAATGGATATATATATATATAGATAGACAGATAGATAGAAAGATGGATAGTTAGATAGATAGATAGATAGATAGATGGATGGATGGATAGAACAAATGATGAATGGATAAATAGGTAGCTACATAGATAGAGGGAGAGGGAGAGGGAGACGGGCGAGAAAGGGAGAGGGGCGAGAAAGGGAGAGGGGCGAGAAAGGGAGAGGGGCGAGAAAGGGAGAGGGGCGAGAAAGGGAGAGGGAGAGCAGGGAGGGTTTCACACATGCATGTGTTATGCGTACATATGTGTATATATATATAATGTATATCCTAAATGTATTTACGCAATGCTTGTAAACAAGATCTACTATGATTCTTGGGTGGTGCAACAATTTGCTCGATTTGTCCATCAGAAAGCAGCACCATGTGAGCGACAATTCTTCCACTAGCTATTGTTGATGTCACGTCTGCTTGGCTCCTCTGACTGCACAGGTTTGCAGGTTTGCCTTTCGACCCCGTTGATTAAATCCAAGGGACGCCCAAAAGTCCTTTATTGCAAAAGGGAATTCCTTTTGATTTGTGCTGGATTGAGGCCCCAAGAAAGGGCAACACGCCGGCGCGGCTCGAGCCGCGCGCTCAAGTCAATCGTGGCAGTTTAGTCTAGTGCTCACATGATCCGGTAGGTTTCCTGCCATAGTTGGAAAGGTTCGAAATTGTCTAGATGACCTGAGTCATTCATGCATCACTTGCAGATACCACATGCTGGTGTAGGAGTAACAGCACCAGTGCAGCTATCCTTGGTTACCTTAAAGTGATTGGCTCCATTCCAAAGTACAGCTGCGTGCGATAGCGCTTTCACACATGTACACGGATGGATTCCTCTTGCCCTTGAAATCTATATACATCTTGGGTCTACTGCGACTGCTCTGCCACTCGAAACCTGCTCATCTACCAAGGTCAAACGCAGGCCCAGGGATCAATGGATTCGACTATGGATTAGCAAAAAGTCGAGACACAAAATCAAATTGGATTTTCACACAAACATAATGATGAGTTTACAAAAATACTGTAGATAATACAATATGTATTTGACATATGTTAGGATATTGGTATTGTTAATTTTGAAAAAAAAAAAAAAAAATAGATAAAGATATTGAACACAAATAGTATATATTGTTAAAGACTAATATATGTATATATTGTGTATATTATATATATAGAATGATGTTATAATTGTGGGTAATGATAGCCGAATAGTTGATTATATAAAAATATATGTTTATTTGATTGATGAATTTGTATAATAGAATAATTAATATATAATTGATTTATTTTTTAAATATGATTAATTGTGTTTATAATTAATTATATGTGTTTGGGAATAATTGATTTATTTTATATTATAATTGAAATATATTTATTTTGTTATAATTGATTTTATATTTGTATTTTAATAATAAAACATATAATATATTTATAATATTTATTGGTTTAACATTATAATATATATGAAATAATAGTTTTGGGTGGTTTGGGGTCGACTTGAGATAAGGTTATGAAGGTTTTATTAGGAGGTTTTATATAAGGATTTTACGAGGTTTTGCAAGGGTTATGGGATAATATTATCACTAATGTTGGGGATATTATTGGGGATATTATTTGAACTAATGTTGGTTTCGATATAAACAATTTTGCTCCATACAATTTATTATAATGATTTATTGAAAAAGATATTATTATGTTATTGAGCATTTATGAACTTAACCTTTAATAATTAAATTTCTTTTATAGCTAATCTTACCCTATGTTGCTCCTTCGTGCCACGAACAAATTCTTTGATTAAATAAATCATATTTTTACGAGCTATATTTCGGATTAATAGAATCTATATTTAATATAACAATTGGTATATATTAATTATGGTTAGTATTTAATTTTTAAAGCAAGTCCTTTAAGTATTCTGTCGCTAGGAAATGTCGTTGTGCATATTTTTTTGTTGTTAACAAATGTTTATGAGCTTCTAATTTCATTTTCTAATTATTATAATGGAATGTTGCAAAATAAAGATTAGTAAGTATTTTTATTAAAAATAAAATAATTTAAAATAATCCTTTATATAAAAAAACAATAACAATTAATTTCCAATTACATAAAAATAAATTTACAATTACTAAAAACATTTATACTATCTATATACCAAAATATCAATATATTAAATACCACTATGGAATTAATTTGCGATGCTAATCAATAATTTAAATATTTATATTTGCTTTAACCTTTTAAAAATATCAAATATCTAATAAATTATATTAGATTATCAATTTATATTATTAAGCAAAAAAAAAATTCTATAAAACAAACACATAAATAATATATTTAATTATTATATCAAAATATTAAAATAAAATTTACAATTATATTATTTTACTAATCAAAATATTATGTTTTTTATTTTTTTCATTTTAATTTCCAATATATTATTTTATAAAATAAATTTCATTATCTATTTCTGTTTTTTATAAAAATATATATATATAAATTACTATTTAATAATATAATTTTTCTAAATCTTTTTTTCGATAAATTTATAAATTTTAAATATATCTTATAATTATATATTTTTCCCAATAAATAATTTTCTTGTGGAAATCCTCGAACCCAATATAGAACATAATTAAAGCGGAATTCTACAAATTTATCCTCCCTCCAACAATTATAAAAGCTAATAAGAGAGCTTTACAAAACCATTTTCCTTTTAAGCAACCCCTTTATATATTTCCATGATTGTTAAACAAAAAGCATATACGATCACCATACGTATATATAAACAAGTATCGATACCTAATTTTCCATACATCATGTATATCTTAATCACCTTGCAACATTTAGGGAATCAAAATAAGCAACTTGCAGAAAATAACACGAGTGCCACAGCTTCCTCCCATTTCTGCATGCCGGCAAATGCGCATGTATCAGTCCATCTTCCATAAATTCCCAAAATTTTCATGGAAGCAACTTTCGCGCGAAGCTTCGCAGAAGGCAACACGAAGCAGACCTTCCCCTTACCTAGACTCCGTTGGCACGTTTTCTAAGCGGAAAATAGCGGAAATGTCGGTTTTTGTTTGGAACAAATGCCGGGGGGAAAAAATACCCGAGCCAGGGAAAAACCGCCGTCGTTTCAACGCTACGGATTGATGCCCACTATGTTACCAGCCCTCGGTGGTGGCCAATGGGAGTGAAATTGCCCTGACTGATTCTCACTAATGCGCGCTTCAAATGGTCGATTGTTTTTGCCCACCCAACACGTGTTGGACGGCAAAACTGGCCAAAAACGTGTTGCCAAGAGCATCCGGCATATCGAGAAGGCGTAACGCATCATCAGACATGCCCGGAAGTAAGCAAGTCGAGAAATTTCAGGATCTTTCAAACTTCCCCAAGCAAACAAGGCATGGGTTGATCCAACGAGACGGCAGTCCAACAAACCCACGGCGGGGCACACCTTAGAATGGGAATCCAAAGCACAAGCAGTGCTCTGCGGGGCACACCAAGTCCAGGGGAGTGGGGGCTACGCAGTGCTTCAGCTACCTCATCACGAAAACGCAAAAACGCCGGCGCCAACTCAAAAATGCCGTCCCGAGGAAAAAGGTGCCTTGTCCCAAAATTTGTAGTTTCTGCCGGAAGGCTCTTCTAGGTCTCTCAATGCAAGCACCTTTTGGACGACTCATCAAGATGGTGGTGAGAATGCAAATGCAATGGCCAAGCGCCAAGCATTGACTATACATCGCCGAAAATGCATCACACGATAACAGTCTCCGGCAGCCTTGTAAGCCTTGGCCGCAGTGTGCTGATGGCGAGTCCCTGGATCTCTCACTTCATCTTGAGCTGTGATCATACCAATTATCGACCAAGGAACCATGAGATCTGCAACCGGCAAGAAGCTTTCTGGAGGGAGACCCAATTCCACTAGGTTCTCCAATAGAGAGGTTAGAATATGGGTACTCTTTCTCTGTAGTCTATTTTAGTGGAGGGGACCCTCCCCTCAAAAAGGGTAAAAGGGCACTACTGGGAGACCCAAATCCATCATAAAATCGTGACTCGGCTTTTACCACAAGGCGCGACATGACTTTTAGCCAGGGGGCTGAATGTGCTCGCTGGAACTGGGAGAAGCGGATAGCTAGATTCGTGGGAAGCGGTCCAAAACATGAAACATAACGCGCACAGAGCAATCAAGATACTGCAAAGAAAGGAACTGGGAAAAAGCATCTTCGTGTTTGTACAGACAGGCAATCTCATTTCTGCGAAGAGCCCGACACTTTTAAACACAAGGAAATGGACGCTTGATATACCGGCTGACATGTTCAGCTGCACTCACAGAACTGCAGCAAGCACGCAATATCTTATCAGTGCTCTCCTTGGCTTTATGCGAAATGTCAAAAAGGATACGCTTCTCTGTGAGTGGCTCAGTGTAATAATAATTTCTCCGCGGAAATCGAACAGATCCCTGGAAAGGAGGAAACACTCCGCAGCCGCCCGGGCAAGGCACTCGGTGTGGTTCCAGGGCGGCCCTTCGAGATCTATGGGCTGGTACTGGATCTCCAGCCAGGGGAAGTGGTTGCCCTCGACCCGGAAGTAGGCCTCAAGAACGGAACATCTCCTAAACCCACCCCAAGTCTGAACCCTCCCAAGCCCACAAACATAAATTCACTAAACCCAACGGGAAGGGGTGGACAACTCACAAAGAAATCGGAAATTGTGCATCGGATTCTTTGGTTTCCCGAATCCTAGTGGCCTAAACGCTCCACGGTTGAGGACTCCATTTTAAGCCACTCTAGGCAACAAAACAGCTGAGTTTTGGCTGACAACGGGTAACAACAAAAAGGTTGCAACAAACCCCTCATGCGCCAGCTTCCCTGATCCCTCCACTGTGTTCCTCAAGCATGGGCCCAAGAGCCCATCCATACGAGTGGCGCCAAATGCTTCCTATGGCACGCGTCGCCATTTTATGTTTGTTGGGGAAGAACACCTATCGCAACGACATGTCTGCACACATCGCTGATCTAGCATAAGAAGGCACCTGCGGGGCTCACTGGCGATAGTGATGGCTCTTTTCACTGCTAAGCCACGAAGCCTCTGGAAAACATGCCATATCATCTCCCTAGAAGTTTCTCTTGCGGCATATGAGCACATAAGGCAATTGGCATCTAAGAGGCAGATCTTTCAGCCTGCCCAAGTCGATAACAGGTGCCTCGTCGATTCGTCGACTCAGAGTCTCAAGCCTTAGCGTTGCTATCGTAGACGTAGTGGATGGGCATGAGGTGCAGGAACTCCAGGAATCTCCTTGTCCAGTGGCTTCCCAAAGGGGCTTCCTTCTGTGGTGCATTTTGAAGGGAAGGGGCCCACCTCAAAGAGAAAACCAAAGGAAACCATGCGAAACCTGCACCGAGTTGCTGCAGCTCCGACTGGTGCGGGCCCATGAACTGGACCAAGCCTTAGCGCTGGCGCATCGCACTTGCTTGAGTTTTTTGAGGGGATTGCAGAGCTGCCCACATTACGTGTTTACCCCTATGATGTTCCCAAAAGTAGAAAGTCTAGAAACTTGGGCAGCTGAGTTGAGGGACCGATCAAAGAATCCGGCATGGTCCGAGCATTGATGGCAGATGAGCCCAAGACAGCTGGAACTGCGTCGTGCATCTAAGGATGGGGGCAACGATTCCGTGCTGCCACCAGAACTTCCCGAGTGCGCAGGCAAACAAACAAGCAAACAAGCAAACAACAAACACAAAGACAAGCAAGCGAGCAAACAAACTACAAACAGACGCACGGAAGCAAGCACAAGCACAACCGCACGCACACACACACACAGACATGCTCCCAAGCTTCCCCTACACCCAGAGACTACAAAATCGTACACATATTTACGCACTGCTTGACCCCTTGAAAGTCCTCTAGGATGTCCCAGCAGCTTAAACAGCTAGATTTGGAAGACTAAGTTAGAAGCAAAACGCAACTCACATGAGGCTCGACCCCGTAAACATGAAGCCAACATGAAGCCCATCTCATTTCAGACCAAGGCTAATACAATATGCTGTTTGGGCGGATCGCACACGTCAGCAAGAATTCAACATGGGCAACCTGGAAAGTGCTTCTTTCTTGTGCTGCTAGGCTGCTTTGGAAGTACTTGACCACCTCTGTCCACTCGCTGCTGTCCACTGGGTCCAGCCTGAGGGAACAGGCAATAGAGCTTGCCAAGCGCCAGCAGTTCTACAGCGAGGCTGTGTGTGTGGGATTCGGCTCAAAGTTGACAGACCGGTTAGTTTGCAGGAACTGGGTAACTTAGTCAAGAGCGCAGGTTTGCTACCTCGCAGCTTTTTGTAGCGAGCCGCCTCTTTTCTTGCTAGGTTCAACGAAACATGTAGGCCCGACGTTGCGTCAGGTCGCCGTCCAGAGTGTGAAGTGCTAAGAGGAAGAGTTGTTGAGGTCGCCCAAGTTGACGAGGCTTCCCTGAAGCCTCTGTGCTGTGAGTTTTGAGTGTATATAGTTGGCTTTTGAGCGGTTCTTCGGTCTGGACCCCAATGACAGGTTCTGGGTCACAATCCAAAAGGAACATGTTCAATGAGAAGCAACCTAAAGCAGCCTACATCCACTTCATGCATTGGGCAGGTCTGTTTGGTGCATTGAGTGGTCGTGCGCAAAACTAGTGCTCGGAGCATGCCAACAATCACCTTGGACCCTCGAATTTCCCGCAGAATCTTTATGAACAATTGCCCCCAGCACAGGCCAGCATGCTGTTCACCGCAAAAAGCGAAGTAGGACTGAGTGAGGCCAACCAAGCCCGAAACTCAAACCGCGCCTGTCTGCGCGGAAAACGATGGACGTGAACTTGAGCTCAAAGCCGGCGACCGGCTTCACTTGCAGCACAGTGGCGGCATAGTGCAAAATCCAATCTCAGGGCTGGCGGCTATGAGGGCCGGCTTCGATCAGGGTGCAAACCAGCCAAAACCCTCTCAAGTTCGCATACATCGCCAAATGCACACACAAAGCCACCTGTTGGTCCTTAATGACTCAAAGGTCAAAAGTTGGTGCTTTTCTGTACAGCATCCCGTGTCAACCGATTTGCTTTCATCCGCCCAAAGGGAAAACATCACAGGGGGAAGGGGCCAACAAACAAACGTCAAGCACACCCGTACACACATCTAGACCTTGCTCAGGCACATTTGTTGTCTTTTCCGGATCGAGCCAAAACAAATACTCCTTGCGTTCTGAAATGATCATTTCAGGGAAACATGCCCAATGGCACATGTCTGATTTTTGGGTTTAGAACTTGCTCCCTTTTCTTCCGCTTGCGTATTTTCCGGGATAAAACTGGCCCCAACAGCTCAAAGGACTATTTTCATCGGCTTCTGATCATGTCTATTTTGTCCGCATAAAATCCGAAACGAGCAGAACAAATGCTTAGCGCCAAAAAAGGTACCAAATGGAAGATCAAGGGATCCCCATTCTCCATTTTCTCCAGGCGATCTTTGACAATATTTGCCGAGAGTTGGCGAAACGTTCTCTGACTGGATTTTTTCCTTTGCGCTGACATGACATGACATGATATGACATGACATGAAGGCTTTCAATATTCAAAGGCAGTGTATCGCTTGCACACTATGCGCGAGAGGTTAACTTGACGCTGCACCGAATGCTATGGGGGGTGAAGCTTCATTCAAAACCCTCCACAAGTGTATCAGTACCGTTGGACATGTGAATCCGCTGACTTATCCACCTGCTCTGGGGATAGAGGCTGATCTCTTGAAGCCAGCACACAGAGTCGGAAAGGAGCAACCAAGAAAGTACAAAGGTTGGTCCCGATGAGCGTGAACCGAGACAATGGCACTCAGCCAAGTCACTCACTCCATCACCGCAGGTGATGTCCTACTCAGCTGCGAGCTGATGCAACTGCACTGCCAAGAAGAGAAGAGGAGAGGGGAAGTAGAAAACATGTTCCAAAGACTGCAGACTAAACCAGATTGAGACAACCTTATGAACCAGTTTCTCTCAAAGGATTTGCTGAAATGGCTGCTTGGCTGCTGGTTGCGTGGGCGTTGACGTCCAACCCCAATTTTGGTATGGTGATGTTGCTCCGATTGGAGGGTCACGTTGCCGAAGCCAACCCAATACTGCGCATGAGATACATCCGCCATGCACTACATGTAATATAGGGTCCAAATACGGACCCATTGAGTCGACTCATACAAAGAACAAGGTGATGAAGAAACCCACCACCACCAGCACCAGCACCACCACCGCCACCACCACCACAACCACCAAAACACCGCCACTGCCACAAAGTCATGCAGTTTTGCATGTTTCGTGGTACGAACAATGAAATTTCGCAGTATTGTGGGCATGCGTGGTGGCCTGGGTTTTGCTGCGCTGACCGTCTCACAATTCATGGCAACAAGGACCCCTTCTTGGGAAGAGCGCAGCATGATGCATGACTGCAGCCGTCCAAACACATCGACAAACGTGCGCAGGTATTTGAACTGGCCTTTTCTCAAAGCGGCCATGGACAACTGCTCCGATTCTCGAACAAGACAAACATAGCAGGACTTGCCCTAGCTGCGGGGTAGATCTTCTTCACCCCTGCAAGGCGTCAAATCATTTGCTGGTAAATGGGACCTTTGAAGCGACAAAAGGCCGAAGGTGGACAGCAAGGCTGCTCCGTCCGTCTTCTAGGCGACAGGGCCAACGCAAACCTGTGCCATAGAAATCCGCATGACAAGGTCACTCAAGCTCTAAGAAATCAACGGCACCTGGCAACAGAAACGACCATTTTCCAGGTGTGCAAACCGCAGTGGCACCACACCCAAGCCATTGCAGCCAAACTTACCTCATAATTGTGCCATGGCTTGTACAGCAGCTTACACTGCAGCAATGCACTGCCTAGTCCCTTGCAAACTCCGCTCCTTGACGAGGGTCTCGTCTGTCCGGCTTTGTGCACGCCAAAGCTGGTACAAGGGCTTCGTGTGGTGGGCCGTGTTGTTTACCTGGCACAGGCCACCCAAGCCTCCAGAAACCTGATTTTTCTGTCGCATTGCCTTTCTTCCTTCGTTTCTGGCATTATAAACATGGAGACTTCAGCTGACAGCAACTGTTCAGAATGAATGTTGCACTCTGGCAGCCCTGTTCTCAGGTACCCTTCTTGGTGAGCACCCACAAAGGGTGGCACCAAGTGACACCCAGGTTCCCCTTTAAAGGGCGCCAACCCACATTGAAAATCCAGGCTCCAAAATCACAAACATAGCCACAAAGCTTACAACATTCCCAATGGAAGCTCGAGAAGAGCTCCGACAGCGTCGCAGGGTGAGCTTGTATCGGGAGGCTTTGCTTGTCTGTGTTACTCTGTTTTCCGTTCCCAACAAAGATGGACTTTATAGACCCAGAACCCATGTGCAAAATTCGGGCTGTTTGGGAACTGGGCGCCAATTACTCAAGCCACAACAAACAATATGGGTCCGTGTATACTATTCATAGATTCAGCCTTTGATGAATGAGGCAGGTCCAACGTTGCGCCTTGGCCCAAGGCTTTGTGTTGGTTTCTGTGCACCGGACAAAGCCCATCTCAAGTTCTCTTCATATGGCTGTGGGTCAAAAACAGGTACCCAAAATGCAACCCTGGTTAACAGAAACATGGACCAAAACCTGCGGTCCTATTCCTGGTGGCTTAATTTTGACCCACACCCATATCTTCCCAGCGGATGTGTCGCAACTGGTCGCGCACCGAGGGGATGAATTCCGTGAAGATCTGCCGCGCTTGCGCCGCGCTCAGCCGCACCGCGACCTCGAACCTCGGGCTTTCGGCTCGAACGGCCGACTGGCCGGTTGGGCAAGATCTTAGCTTTGGAGGGGTCCAGTTCACAAAGTGAGCAAACAAACTGAAGCTTCACATGCCATGCTGCTATTACGGACGGAGAGTTGAACATTTGATCTTCAGCCTCAAATCCTTCGTTTGGAGAACTATTACAAAGACTTGTGATTGGTGACGTTCAGTCTCTGATTGAATCGAATACGGTACAAAATCCTGCCCGACAGTCAAGCTTCAATCCTGAGTTCAGGGTATGCAACCTGCCTAAGCGAGGGATGAGCGCGTCAGAAGCTAACAGCAAACAACGACTGATTTAGTTCTGATCATGCAGCCAGCAATCCTTTTTTGCCGCATGGGTCGGCGATCGGTTTCTATGACACATGCCGAGAATCCCCCCATATGCTTTCATGTAGGATTCAGCAAAATTGATGAGGTATGTGATTCCTCTTCGCAGACTACCATGCCAAGACTTGTGGCTGTATCAACCAAGCAGCCAAGATCAAGTTGCAAGAGTGACCAAGCAGTCAAGTTCCCGTGCAAACAAGTTCAACCACGCCATCAACGAATCAAATCAACACCCTCAACCATACTGATATGTATATGTGTGCATAAACCAACCAACGGCAAACAAATGCGCAGGCTAGCTAGCAATCAAGCATCAAACAGAAGCAGGCAACGCAAACATGGCGCAAATAAGCAAGGAGAAAATAACACAGGAAGGACAGCGGAAACAAATCCAATAATCAAACAATTATACAGTAAACAAAGCAAAGGAGCGAGCAGCGACCCACCAACAAAGCAACCACGCAACAAATCGACAAAGCAACAAAGCAACAAAGAAGCACAGCAAGAATGCAATAAATACACCGGTGAAAATCAGCGCATCTAACAAACCACCAAAGCTACCAAAGAGCAATGCTGGAGTTGTTCGGGGAAATGTGATGGAAATGTTAAGATTGGCCGATGCTGTTGGAATGTTGCTTGGGCTTATTGCATAGCTCCTTTCTGCAGTCAAGGCACATTTTGCTCCAGTGAGCCTGCCCCACATGACATGCAGAGACTTGCAGGGCAACCCCAGGAACACAGCCCATCACATAGACCCTCTAAAGGGGGCGGTTGTGTTACGCGGAAAGGCATATGGATGGTGTGTGTTGGAACACTGGAACTGTTGCAGAAGCAACGAGCAATTCTTCATGGGACCCCCCCAAATTGACAAACGTCTGGTTGACTGCTGTCAAGGGGCATCGTCCTCATGGCGATCCATCCCGAAGGATTGATTGATGAAACGTCATTCTAAAGCTGGCCCAGCCCTCGATTTGCGGAGCCATAGCTAGCTTTCGCCGTCAGAACGAAACTAACATGTGGGTGGCGCCAA